CGTTGTGGGGGTAACGAATACCTACACAGTCTGTCTCCGTAAAGATAATGGGTTTAGGCCATTGCTTGGGCTATTTGTAGGGGCGGTCCAATGTTGTTACTTCCTTGTCGAAGCCTTGTCTGATTTTTCTGAGCTTGGCCCACTATGCCGATCGAGATGGTTCACCGCATGCAAGCCCGCCGGCGATGACTCTGATCTCGCTGATCGGAGGGGCAGGATTGCCTTGCACTTGGGGTTATCTTGGGGTCTGGTCATTGTCTCGCTTAGGTTGTGCAGGTTGTCGGGGGAGAGTATGTCGATGGTGGTCCCCTGGCGGGTCGATCCTTGGCCTTTGTGGGGGACGGGTTACCATGAATCGACTGAGACGCCCTTGGCATATCAGATTCTCCGCTTGGTCTTTAAGGTTGACACATTCCTCAATGTTGTGGCCGTAGTCTTGATGGGACCGTCAGTACTTGGATTGATCTCGCCAATTGGAGGGAGATCGTGATGGTAGAGGCCATTTCAGGTTGTAGTCTCGTCAGATTTGGTTCAAGACGTGTTCCATGGGTGAATTGAGAGGGGTGTATCGTTCAAACCGACCGGGTGGTCAGGTAGGTGCCGGTCGGTCTGTACAGGCAAGTCAGTCAGTATACTGAGAGGGTTGATGTGGATATCAAGAGGATCTGGGTTCAAGTTCTTTTCTTTTGTCCTTGGGGGGTGGGTTTCTGGATGTGGAGTCTTGGCGGGTTGCCAAAGAGTCTTCAGCATTCATATATTTTTGGTTTTGGAAATGAGGGTGGCCATAGTGGTCGAGGGGTTTTTGGAAAGAGAGAAAAGAAAATCTGATGGCCGTAAACCGGCCATGAAGGCTGTGAGGATGACCTTATCGTCGTTTTCCTCCACCCGTAGGGCTTCAGTATTGAAACGGGTGACAAAGCTGCACAACGACTCTCCTTCCATCTGCCGGATATTGAGCAGTTGAGTCACTGGACGTTTCTGGCACTGAGCACCAATGAAGTGACTTAGGAATGAGTCACTTAGCTGTTAGAAAGTAATGACAGAGTCTGCCGATAGCTGACTGAACCATAGTCGTGCCGATCCCTTAAGCGTCACGGGAAAGGCTTGTCACTTGATTTTGTCCGGGAAAGTATGAATGATCACGAGGGTCCTGTAGGCCTCCAAATGGTCGACAGGGTCGGTTGTGCCGTCGAAGGTGTCAATCGATGGCATCTTGAACTTGGAGGGTAGGGGTTTGTCTTTGATAGAGGCAACAAATGGGGAGTTGGCTATCGTAGAAAGTTTACTCTGTATGTTTTGAAGTTGGAGTTTCATGGCTCGTAGTTCCGCATCCCAAATAGGAACATTGTCCCCCTCCGGAGTGTATTGAGGGCTGAACATTACTGGCCTTTTCTTCAGGGACAGGTACATGATTTGGTAGATGCAATGGTGGGTATAGGTCTTGAGGTGGAGCTAGTAAACCTTCTAGGTTAGAAAGGTGGGCTTGCTGGAAAGGGTGGCTTGCGGTCTGTTCACAATTGGGAGAGATGTCTTGTGGCGGTGGAGAAGGGATAGGGAGATTTCACTGGAGTAAAGCGTTGATCAAGGCCTAGTTTTGCTCGGTCAAGCGGTTGATGATGTTGGCGAGCTTCGTGAAGTACTAAGGTGGGTTGTTTGGATTAAAAGGCTCTGGTTGGGGGTCGAAGACATTGTGTGGAGAAGCCATGGATCTCGTTGTATCCATCCACCTCGACGGGAGGGAAGAAGAAGTAGCTGGGAATGGGTCTCTGGCAACAACGAGCACAGCTGTCAACCGGAGTTGTGGTTCCCACAGACGGCGCCAACTGATAATACTGTAAACTGGAAGGATGGATGGGCCAGATTGATCCATACTTCAGATAGGTCTGTTGGGCTTATAGTTCGCAGAATACACCTGCAAAAACGGTCCAATGAGGGGAAGTCCCTTGACGAACACTCTGACGATCAAGTTAGTTTAAGGCAATGAGGTTTTTCTAGAGAGATAATGTATGAAATGTGTGAGAGAAAACTTAACCTATGTCGTTCTTTTGAAGCCTTTTATCTTTTTCATTCATCATTTCCTTGCCTCTTTCCAGATATATCGTCAGCCATAAGTCTAAGGTTTAGCTGACCTCATTCACGGTGAGCCTATTTTCTTCGACGTGAAGGGGATGCCGCATTTAATGCTACTAGGGTCTCATTAATGGCTGATGTATGGGTGTAATAACTTTGTAGATCTTTGTCTACTTACGTGGCTGGTTCCCTACTTGACAAGTGTTTAGATGCCATTGGTCCCTGGTTCAACATTGGGTTCTCAAGGATGCTGGGCTTTAGTACTTGGACCGTGAATTGGGCTCTAAGTCATGGGCCAAAACCTTTTGTGAGCCCACCAATGTCAGGGATTGTGTCCGTAACTGTGATTGGGCCTAGTGACGAAGTAAGGAGATGGAAAGGGAAGCACATAGTTGTGATCAGGATTATGCAAAATATCGTTAAAATCGCATTGTTTCGTATTAATCCGTACCATTCTATCTACTAACTACAGATTAAATTTTAAGATTTATAATCCGCCTTTTAAACCGTTCTGCTCTACTATAGTTAATATATATATATTTTTTAACTTCTAATAAAATATCAAAGTGAAAATGAGTGTGAAAGAGATTTAAGATGTAAAATTTGTTATAAATTAATAGTTATATATATATATATAATATTTTATGTAAAATTATTTTGTGTTATATATATATATATATATAAATATTATGCAAATTAGTATGATATATTATACAAATATTTAAAAATTGGTTAAAATATTTTACAATCCGCCAATCTTTCCAAAATTGCCTAAATCACAATTTATCAATCCTCTAATCTGTCATTTAATTTATGATTTTACTCTCAAATTATCTGAACAATACTGCGCACACCCTTAATTGTGATAGTGGCGCAGAAAGGTGCATGGATGGCACAAATTCATGAGAGAGAGAGAGAGAGAGAGAGAGAGAGAGAGAGAGAGAGGGGGGGGGAGGGAGAGATGGTTATGGAGGGAATGGAATGAGAGGGTTTGTTTCCTCTTAAATAAACTCTTTTCTTCTTTCATTGACAAGAAGAAAATTATAGGGAAATTTCATGAGAAATAGGTTAGGAAATACCTGGGTGTAAACAAAATAAATCACTTATCCTCAAGTCTTCTTATAATAATGAAAAATATTACATAATTTCTTTGAAATTTTTTTTTTATCATTAACAATGTATTTTTTTTTTCAATTTTCTTTTTATTTTTTTCATGAAAAAAAAAGTTGTTTTTGAGGAAGTGGATATGAAATACTCCTTCAATCTAAACAAGCCCTTCCAGGATCTTCCTAGCTGTCACTTGAAATAGAAATAAAACTCTGGACGGTAGTGTCAGAATTAGTACTCTGATGGACAAGTTAGTCTTTGTAGAAATGTTGGTGTTTTATAATTTCTTGAGGTTCAAGGTTCTTAGCACATACCTCTTTTTCCAGTCTTTTTTCTCCTTTTGTAGAGTCCCTTTCCTCAATCCTTACGCCATGCAGCCTAGCCTTCCATTATCATCCTGTTAGGGTCCATTTCCCTACTATATTTCCTTGAAAGGTACACTCTGGTCCCATCTAATGGACCCATGCCGAATCTCCCGACACATTCGGTTTTGCTATTTGGCACATGTATTCATAATTCGGCGCTCCCCGATATTTTCATACTTATTTGGACATCTATTTGGCAATGGCGTACGTAGTCTGGTGGGTTTTGGCCTTATTCGGTCCATTTTAAACGAGCTTGGATGCTTTGTTGGCCGTTTTCAAGTATATCCTCTTTTCGGCTCCCATATTATTAAATCATTGATATACAAGCAAATTTTTTGTGGTTGAAATAATCAAAAAAGTGAGTATATTGCCAAACAAGGTCTTGCTAATGTAGGTCTCACTATTTTCATTTAGTGATACAAATATTTAATGAATTTTTTTGGGTATAAATTATTTTTTAAAATTATTGAGGTTATGTGATCATGTACTCAAAATAAGAAACACAATACCTGAAAAATAAAAATAAAATTATCATATTTTCTAGTCACCAAATATAAATGTAATACCTGATCAAAAAAAGAAGAAGATATAAATGTAATAAGTTTCATACATGTTAATTAATGTTTTTTTCAATACATTTATGACTAATAATGAGAAAATTGAACAAAAAATTTATTTTCTCACTTTTCATTTGTTCTACATTTTCTTTTATGCACATGCAGAGTAAGGATATGTATTACGAAAAAAAAAAAAAAATTATGAATACATCAATCATTTAAATAAATAAAAAAGTAGCTATTTTTGTCAACTGCACTTTATTTTTGTCTTATTCTCCATTTACCACTGCAAGAAATTAACATTTTAAAGACAAATTTTTAGGAATAAAAATAATTTATTTATAAAAATTATATTTTTAAGGATAAAATGAAAAGGACAAAATGAAAGAATTTTTTTTAAAATATATTTAATCATGTTATTACATTTTCTAGACAAATTTATTTGGTTGTAAAAAGATCAATCACTTTTCCCTATAATTTTAGTTGGTCCCTAATAAAACCAAATCATATCTCTACAATTTTAATTGGTCCCTAATAAACATAAATCATATATTATTATACAACAATGATTCATCCTCCTTTTCCCCCCGAAAAATGCTAGAGGTCCCAAATTTTTTACCAAATAAATGATCAAATGTCTCACATGGGTGTGGGGTCCACAAAATTGCGGACCCCACACCCATGTGAGACATTTGGTCATTTGTTTGGTAGAAAATTTGGTGTCCCTAGCATTACCCTTTCCCCCCACCCCCTTTGACCCCTCCTCTCTCTCTCATTGGTTACATTTTCTTTTTCTTCATGCTCCTCCAATGACCACCCGCCACGTGACAAAGGGGATGAGGGGGTGACCCCCAAAAAGGATCCCAAGCATTATTCATTATCATATTTTATATATTAATTTATGAACTCAATATTCGGGGACTCAAAAACAAAAACAAAAAAAAAGTTTCATCACTCACTCTCTTCCCCTCTCTCTCTCTCTCTCTTTCTCTCTCAAAGCCCTAATTTCTCTTCTCTACTGATTCATATATCTCATCTCAACGAGTTCGATGTCTGGATCGATCCGCCGCCTCATCTCTCCTTGATTCTCCGATTTCCCGGCGAATCTCCGGTAGCGTTTCCGATCAGGTACCATATATTATCAACTTATTTGATAATCGACTATCATATTTATGAATTGCCTATATTCAATATGTTTGACGTAGCAGCAGCGTCTTGGATGCTTTAACCATTCTGAGATTTGAGTGGAAAGTATCTTGGGGTTTCTATTTGCAAATTTAGATTCTCTCCGTTACATGGTTTGCTGGAATTGAAGTGAATGGAGATCTCTCTATTTCAATGCATGATATATGTTTTTGTTTTTGTTTTTGTTTTTTGTTTTTCGTTTTTTTTTTATTTTATTTTGAGAACTAATGTAGATACGTGTATGGAGCAATCTACATTTGCTACATTTACAGACCATTGAAATTTCTTATTTCATTCATGTAATGATGAGGATCATATCCAATCTAAGCCTCAGTCCATCATAGATCATCCAACCGATGCTCTGTTAATGTGAAGCCATGATGGAGTTCCTTTGTTTTCTATTAGTAGTAATTGGAGGGCTGTGTGCCACATGTATCTTCATTGTTTTTTTTTTTTTTTTTTTTTCATTGTTGTCTTTGGAGAATCCGTTATCCTTCTTTTTGCTTTGAGCATTCTATCTGTTTTCATTGTAATTAATATGTCCTTTTTGTTGCTGAATGATAAAAAAAGAAATGTTTATTAATCTGTAGTATGTGTTTTTTCTTGTTCTTGACGTTTTAATAGTTGACTTATCTTTATGTTATGATTAATTAACTGAATAGGTTGGAAGCTGCCGTGCTGGATCTGGTTGCAGATGACAGTGGTGGCATGCAGAAACAAAAATCTAGATTCCACTGGGATAAGGTATATCTTGTGGATGTTTATTTTTTTGTTTTTCTTTCAAACTATCTCCTTTTAAACTGTGTGAATCTGTTTGCTGGCAGAGGAGTAAGAAATACATCAAGTTAAACAATGGGGACCGTGTGACAGCTAGTGGAAAGGTATTTTATCAAAGATCTTTGCAGTTTTACAAATATATAAAGCTTTTTTATGGTATAATTGGCATATAGAAGAAATAGGTGTAGGGGAGATGCTTTGCTTCTTGAAATTAGGTGTAAAGTGGTTTTCTTGTTGAACATATTTATTTGCAGTCTACTGAGTGTTAAAGATGTTCGAATTGTTAAAGATTTGTTGAGTTTGCAGCTTCAAACTTCTTCCTATGACGGGATAGTGTGGAGTTTTCTATTGGGGTTCACTATGGGCAGGTTCTATTATTATTATTAAATTATAATAATAATGAGCCTTTCCTTTTGATTGTTAAGTGTTCTCAACTTGAAACGTCATGTAAATGATATAAGCATTATTATCATGTAATTAAAATAAATTAAAAATAAAACAAAATGTACAATATTAATTTGTATGATTCATTTCATTTTATTGTAATTGAGATACACTGTAACGATAATAAATAAATAAATAATTGACTACTCAAAATAATGATAGTCCACACAAGTTAGCCTCATCTCCTACATCCTCAAGCAAATGAGATAAGGGTGGGGCAATAAATTAAATTTATGGATTACATCAATGATCAACGGTAGCTACTATAAAACGGCCTAAAAAAACTTGTGGTGTCATCATAAAATACTAATCAGATGACTTAAACCTTGATCAAAACTCACACCATTTTCTTAATCTCTCTCTCCCAAATATTGGGGTACGATATCAAATATATTCGGCTCATAATGTTACAGATTAAGAACTCGATCACAAACAAGACATAAAGTCCAGGTGTTAAATTTGGACCACATTTTTTTGGTGTCCAAGTTCTTGGTATATAAGAGCATCTCCAATAGCAAATGCTGTGATGGCAAACCATTGGAGATAATCTAACATTCTTGTTACCTCATTCTAAAATGCAAAAATGGAAACCTTACCTGCTAAAAGCCGTCCCTTCAAGAGATCACCTAACACTATAACAATGATTATCAAGGGAATTGATCACAATAAAACATCAATGAGGTAAATACCAGTAGAATTAAACGGAGCTCCAGGGGAACTAAAGTAACAATGCCATCAAATTCCATAATGGTTATTGAACAACCCTAGTCATCCATTTCACAAGAAGACCAGGTTCGCTCGAATTCTGTGCATTGATGAAGACCACACAGCATGCATGGTTTTAATTCCCTCACTATAAACTTGGTTTGCACCCGGCCAATAAATTTGTAGCACATCGCACCTGCATACGTAACATTGAATAGATAACAAAAGACTCCAATAAAACACACAAGAGGAGCACTAAATAGATGCTATAAAGTTGCAGTACCATATCATCATGCAATGAGGTCAAACATCAAAGATTTTCCCGACCCAACTGCCATGCAAACTGATCAACCACCACCATAACACGAGACGCTGAGCCAATAGAACCATCATATCTACAACAGTTCAATAACAAGTCAGAAAACAAAAAACTTAGCAAATTGAATACGAAGTTCATCAGGTTATAAATGCAAGGCACAATCTAAATTTGTACTGCTAGCTGAATATCAACTGAGCTTCTAAATGCAGTATTTCCGGCCCAGCAAAAAAAAATGCAATATTTTGCTAGTGACCCTTTTGGGGCTTGGCTTGTCACATGAGTCTGAATTTCATGTTAAAATGAAAACAAAATACTTACAATGCAACCAAGAGAAATGCTGCTGTATGTGTTTCGATAGCACCTTCACCAGCAGGTTTTGAAGTGTTCAAGCACCTTGCAGAAAACCAGTTCTCATGAATTGATGTGACAACATCTGCCACCAAAATTCAGCACAATAAACTTCAGACAAACAGAGTTATCATGGGCATAACTAAATATTTTATGGGACAAGCAAATGCCTGGACAAAAAAATTGATTAATTCACGTAGGCCATTTACCAACAGTGGTTCCTACCCCTTACTATATTTCAAATTACATATTGCACAATTGGACAGATAACCACAACTTAAACCTGGAATAACTACACAAATGGTTAACTTTCAGCAAATGATCAATGGTTTCTGATTGGAAAAAAATTGGTTTTTGGTCAGAATTTCAAGAGGAATGTCTCTATCTGCTTCAATGGTCAACATAAAATAAAATCAATTTCTTACTTTGCAGATTCTACCCAGAACTGGAAAAGCATTTTGATATCTTTGGCCAAAAAGCTGTTTGGGCCATAATTATTGTACTTGGGGCTCAAACCAAATATCTCCTGTAAATGTATAATTAAATTTGACTGTGGGTGAATATATGGTTTAAAAAAATAATGTCCCACAAAAAAAGTGATTGAAATTGATTAGAAGCCGAAATGCAATATTCAGAGTATTAGATCACAATGGTTTCAGCATGACTAGAGTAGGGAAATCTAGTTCTGAGAAGCGACATACTACTTGATAAATTCAATGTATAAAGAAAGAAATACAGAGAATAAATTGTATGTATTCAATTGATTGATTGAATGTTATGGGTTAGCTCCTTTATATAAAAGAGTTACAAGCTTACAAGCCAAAAGAGAAAACAGAATTATTAAAGCATACTAATTATTATACTAACCTAATTATTAAAGCAGCACTTTACATATTATATTCTAACAGTCCCCCTCAAACTCAAGGAGGATAGGAACCAACCAACTTGAGTTTGGAGAGAATAACAAAACAGAAAAATAAAATAAAATAAAATAGGATAGGAGACACTGTATGGTCGTGTTAGACCGGTGTGGAAGACATTGTATGGTTGTAGCAAACCGGTGTAGAAGACACTGCATGGCTCGTGTCAGACTGGTATAGAAAATACACTGTATGATTGTGCATAACAAAACAGAAAAATAAAATAAAATAAAATAGGATAGGAGACACTGTATGGTCGTGTCAGACCGATGTGGAAGACATTGTATGGTTGTAGCAGACCGGTGTAGAAGACACTGCATGGCTTGTGTTGGACTGGTATAGAAGACACTGTATGGTCGTGTCGAACCGTTGTAGCAGCTAACTGGAATCAATGTCGGGACAGTTTACGAGGTCATGTCGAACTGATGTAGAAGCTAACCAGAATCAATGTTGGGACAGTTTACAGGGTCATGCCGGACCGTTGTAGAAGCTAACCGGAATCAATGTCGGGACAGTTTACGGGGTCATGCTGGACCGTTGTAGAAAATACACTGTATGATTGTGTATATAGGCTACCCAAAAGATATACATGTATATATATATATATATATCGAGCCCTCAAAAGGCGCGCCCACTTCATCAAAAGTCATGCCCGGCGGAAATCGTCGAGCGATGAGCCATCAAAAGTCGCGCTGGACACGCGGCGATGCACGTGATCGACAGAGCGTTGTGTCGTCATCTTCGTCATTGTCTATATAAACCGAGGCGGAGGCTGTGCAAACCAAACTAGTCTGAAACCTCTAAACATTTTCATTCTGAAACACTCTGCAACCAACCCTTTCTGACATTACCAGTCTGAAATCGCTGCTTCTCTAAAACACTCAGCAACCCAAAACATGGCCTCTTCTTCCCGTTCAGCAACCCAGAACATGGCCTCTTCTTCCCATAGTCTGCTCACTCTCTTTCCAGACCTCAACGAGTCCACAAGAGAGATAACCGGTGCGGTTGCCCTTGAACCTCAACCAAGCGCCCCTGGGTTTGCTCCGTTGAACTTTCCTATGCGGTTTGTGGAGCAAATAATGGCAGCGCAATCGGATATTGAGGCCAATCAGTATACATTGAAGTCATGTGTAGAGACCATGACTGTGGTCAAAAACTTGTCGCACCGGCATAGAGTAGGACAAATGAGGTGCAACAGTTAAACACCCAACTGGCTCTGCTCCAGAGCATGTATAAGGATGCACGAGCAGCGATATGTGTGCTAAAGGCGGAAAACAAGGAGCTGAAGTGAAAGGCCACCGTTATGTTCCGATTTGGAGGTCCGCCATATGCTGTGGTGGAGGAGTAGGGGGGAGTGAACGGGCTCGGCGGCGTGGGAAACACGGAGGCAGCACCGTCAAGGGCCGCCTAGGACGGAGGCAAGAAGAAGAGACCGGCGGTAGAAGAGTAGAGAAGGGAAAAGAAAAATCCCTCCTGTGTGAGGGAGGTAATTTGTTTGAGTTGGTTTTGTTGTGTTTTGTTTTGTTTTGTTTTGTTTTGTTTTTTTTTTTTGAATTGAGAACTGTGATCGGGATAGATCCTCGACATGAAGAAATGACAAGTTTGTGGAATGAAAACGAGTTGGTTGTGAATGGAATTTTTTTTTTTTTTTTGTATTGGAATAAAAATAAAATAAAATAATAAGAGAATGGAAAAAGGATGATGCTCACCAACTGAGTTGTAGAATAATGAAATATTAATGAAAAAGAAAGATAGAAAAAAATAAAAATAAAATAAAATAAAATAAAGGTTTGTGAAAAATCAGTATATATATATTGATGAATCAGTAGATATAGGGTGAGTGGAGGATAATAGTGTGGGTAATATATTATAATAATAAAATATATATATATATATGCTTTGTCCCCTGAATCAGTAGATATAGGGTGAGTGGAGGAAGAAGATAGTGGAGACAAGGTTGGTGAGATTTATCGGAAAGAAGAATAATTTATTGAGGAGCGCACATGCTGCAGAGATGGAGCGCACGTTCATCCAGGCACGTGTATGGGTCAGGGACTGAGTTACAGAGAATCCTATCACAATAGCTTCTTTAGTGCTGTCCAAAATGGAGAGCTCGAGACAGTGGAGACCATCGTTGATGATGAGCCAAGTGTGCTGGAACGAACCACTATTCGTGGGAAGCTCTCTGCACTTGATGATGAGCCAAGAAATGGGTTGATTAATTTCTGAGAGACGATGTTGAGGCTGAGTCTAGCTTGTGGTGGTGACTCCATTGATGGTTCAACTAGAATGATCATTTGTGCCAACATGCAGTAACAAAACCAGAGACTTCACGGGGGTGCGAAGGAGGATCTCGCTCAAGGCATCGTCGTTGTCGGCGATTGTGTGGGTTGATGATGGCGGCGACGCCGTAGGGCTGACGTGTTCCAAAGCCGATGATGCGACAGCTGCGATGGATTCCTATTGCCGGAGTGAGATCGGAGAACTTGGTGACGCCGTGCACGACGGAGGGATCGAGAAGCTGGTGGGTCTGTGGTGGCGAAAGACGACGGGGGCGGTGACGACGGAGGCGGTGGCCATAGCGGCGGCGGTCTCGCCGGCGAGGTCCGACCCGGGGTTGTTCAAGATGGATGATGGTGATGATACTCTGATCTTGAAAGTGAAGTTCTGCCATGGAATTTGTTAGAAACTACTGTAGCACCAACAACAACAAGATCAAGATTAAGAAGAATAATTTGGGGCAGCGGAGTG